TGATAAAGAAAGCAGTTCATTACCTGTTTTTCCAAGGCCAACACACTGTACAGGCAAATTTAAATGCCAGCTCAACAATCAAAGCCAGATTTTAGCTTTCCCCAAGAAGAAACATAAAATTCTAATTATTTTGCTGTGCTTGCTCAGGTTATCAGTTAGAAAATAATGTCAGTTTCACTGGTGAGGCACTAACAGGGTGTGGATATGATTTTCTGAAACTGCTTCTGCAACAATGGAGGCAAGAACCTATTCTTAAAATGCATCTATACAGCTGTGAACAAGCTGGAGGACACTCTGAGTGAGGCAGTGCCTTATATCAGAGTGGATGCTGCTCTGCAATGCTGGAAAAGGAAATAAAAATATCTACAGCACTTACTGGCAAACAGTTCACTAAACACAAAGCAGTTCACAAAAATGAAGAAGGGAAGAACTGAAGATGGGAAATGTGCCTCAAAGACAAAAATTTGGCTTGAGAAAGCCCTAACAGATGACTAAAAGCCCATCTTTCTGCAAGATCAGGAGCTCCCACAGTACCTCTGGTACACTGGAAGAAGAGTGTTTATGCTTCTAGCAAAACATATGGCAACAAATAACAGAACTTTCAGTGTCTGTAAAGACAGCTGTGCAAGGTATATCCATTACCTTTTCTGATCCATTAATGATGAAGTAGCCACCAGGATCAAGTGGACACTCGTTCAGCTCACAAAGATCACGGTCAGTTAAGCCATTCAGCAAACAGTATGTGGAACGCAACATGATAGGAATTTTTCCTATAAAGGTTTTCTGATGCTGGGTCTGCAACTGGTCCTCCCCTTCTTTAATAACTGTTTTAGTTATATCCACATACAAGGGGGCAGAATACCTACGGAATAAAAACACCACTGTGTTATCTGACAGTTACTACCTTCCTGTACAACCCCGAGTAATGAAGGCAGCTATTCAAGCACTCACCAGTGTATTAAACATTACCAAACCATCAATCACCGCCCTTTAACAACCAGACATGGAATTTTAAACAATGCAGTAATTACTACATTCTCATGGCACTGCTGTATTGTAAAAGGGTATGCATTAATAAGGCAGACACAATTTTCCCTTCTGTTTGTCCACCACAGAGCTGGCTCTTACGTCAGGTTTCTCAGTCTGGCTTCATTTGGCATCATAGGTGAGGGTGCTCCATCTCTTTCCCAATGCGTAGGTTTGGAGAGATAGATTTGTTCAAACTTCAACAGATACCGAGGCTGGAAAACAGGGGTATATTTATTTGTAATGGAAGAAACATCTCCACTATTAGCAACCAGAACTGTTACTGCAGAAGAACAGCAAATAAATGAAAGCACAGCAAGCTGGGTAACATGGGCTCCTAGGAAGATTCTATGGGACAATTAAACAAAGTAAGACTTGAGTTTTTGGAAAACAATCTGATTTTTAAAATGGACAAAAGCTCCCTACAACAGGAGGTGGCAAACCCTTGCTGGCAAACGTTTTATAAGTCAATGAAAAATCTGAATCCTTACGTGAAGAAATACCTTTTCCTGGATTTGCAGCAACAGCCACACACAGTACCTTTTCCCAAGTTCTCATTAAAGCAATCTTAAGAATACGTTTACCATCATTCTTAGCTCTGAGCATGGTTGCTAAACCCTCTCAAGTGCTCTAAACTGCCTTCAAAATTTAAGACTGAGAAGCAGAGGGAGACAGAAACCAAAAAATTCAAGTTTTTCCTAATACACACATTTTCTTAGGTTAGTCTAGCATCTTTAAAAGTGGTGAGAGATTGTCTGTGACTCTCTTTTTCCTTTAGAGTTTTCTTTTTTCATCTCTAAACCTATTCCTAAAAACTTGCTTTTAATAAATGAGAATAAGATGCTAACCTCTGTGATTTGAGAAAGTAAAATACCAGCTTTTGGGCAAAAAGAATCCCAGCACAAACCATGCTTGTGATCTGAACTGTGACCAGACACAGGAGAAACATCAGCTGCAGAACTGCACAAGTAGAGAATTCTGCCATAATATATGCAGAATAACAGGAAATATTAAAAATTAGTGAGCTAAATGTTTATGAACCATTTGCCTAGCAAAGAAGCCAAAAGACACCTCAGTTATTCTCTACAGGATAGTTGCTTGCTTGCAAAAAAATGCAAAGGAACAGGAAAACCGTGTAACAAATTCAATGCTCTGGTGTCCCAAAGTTCCTTTAAATCTCTAGAGGGAAGCGTCAAGGTAGTGACTGACAGCAAGGCAATGGCTCAACACCATTAGCACTTATGGAACAGGGATCAGACTACACAAGGTGAAAGCACCAGAGCCACTGCAGAAGGTGCGCCCTCACTGCAGAGGAGCCATCATGGGCTGCAAACTTGAGACAATCTGTCCTCCTCAGAGGATGGTGCCAACAGAAGATGAACAACAGCACCCTTCGAAAACCTGGACCTAATCTGAATCAAAGCTAAGAGAGAAGTTTCTGGCCATAAACCTTTCTTGCCATGGTAAAGCTGCTGAAAAATCAAAATCTCACCAAAACACAGCTTGCTCTTGGCTAGCTGGCCTGCTCTAGTAAATCTCTGTCCATGCAGTTTTGCAGAGAAACTGACAATACGAGCTGCAGCAGCCACTTGTTCTTGGCCACTTCTCAACTCAAACAGAGGAACAGGGATGGAATAAAACTGTTTTAAAATTACTTTGCATTGTAAAAACACATAATCTCTGCCAAGGTTCTCCACTTACTGGCTCTTCCACTTCTCCTGAGGCATGCTGGGCTTCAGCTTGTAAATCAATTGGTGGAGCATCTTCAACAATTCTCTGCACAGACATCTGAATAAACTCATCAAAGGAATCCAACTGTTGCCTGACTAAACCCTTTTCATCAAAATAGGAGCTAAAAAAAGAGCA